ACATTTTGATATTAGAAATTTCGTTTCAAAATGACAGGAATGCTGCGTGATGTAATAGTGTGCAATGTGTCAATGACACATAAACCGTATGTGTATAAGTGCTACTGAATCGATATAGACAACTTTAGAATTCTCTTAAAAGAATTCTGATAGAATTATTGACAAGTACAGATTCGAATTGGCTTTACAGAATTGAAAACTCTCTCTTTTATAACTAAAATATATACGCACAAGAATAAATCGCGGGATACTATTCTCTTAAGTTTAAGAAAAATATTTAAAAAATTACCTAGATATATGTCGGTAATTTTTTTTTTTTTTCATTCTTAAGCTGAATAGTCAGCAATTTATTTTCATGTGCATTTTAAATATATAAAAAGTTTTATTCTATAAAGTCAATTAAAAATAGAAATCTGTAATAAATTTCATCATTTCAGTATCCTGTTAAAAGTATATAGAAAGTATAAAAGTCTATAGAAGGTATTTAAGCAATGTAGCTGCATATCTCGTATATCCATTTAATTAATGTTTGCATGGAATCTCGTTAAATAAAAACACATGAAATATCATGAAAAAACTAATATCTCTGATTTTAAGTCTTTAAAGGATATTTTATTTTTAGGAGAGAAAAGATATAATTAAGAATCTTATAGTATAATATTTTAATTATAAAAGCGTTTCTTATTTCTCTGTGATGAATGAAAGAGAAAAGAGCAAGGAAAGAGGGAGAGAAACAAAATCTTATATTTATAAATTATTGTGTAATATATAATCATGAAAATGATATGTAAATGCATGTATCCATAGTTTATGTGTATAAAATTTAAAAAGTTAATTACGTTTAATGCGCTCAAAGTAATGATCCAAGATTCTTGTAATTTAGATGTTTCTGTTTCTTACAATGTTTTTGTTCAAACGACATCAATGTATAACATTGCACGCAATTACAAGAGGTCTTTATATGTATAGATTACATAAGATTCCATTTTAATGTGTTGAATCCATTTTAATGTGTTATAACATAATGTAATCTTCATATAGACACAATTTATTACTTGTTATCTTTTACGTGCAATTATGTGAAAGACATTTATGTTGTTTCTAAATATGTATATAAAATACTCAGTGGTATTGTTGTGTAATACATAAATAAAGACAAATTAAAACAATAATAAGAAAAAAAACCGGACAAAAAGAAATAGACACTAAAGATCATGCGCTGATATTTAAAAAAGAAATCTTTTTATCTCACAATATTATAAAATTTATTACAAAACGAATGTACTATGTTAACTATGTTCTTTAATATGACAAACTCGAATGTTTCTATATTAATCTTTTAATCCTTCTCAATGATGAAAATTAAAATGCCCGCAATACTTTAAAATTAATATAATATGCATTATTCTCTCCGAAGTGGATAATGTTTTCTCTTATATTAAGAAAGAAATATCTCATATCAAATTGAAAGGCTGGATCGACTCAAAGTATTAAGTGTCTGCGAAAACGGCAACAGATGTGTAAATCATTAATCTCCATATTATAATTGATGGGAAGTTAACAATTAAAAACCAAAAATTAATGGTGTTCCATTAATTAAAAAACAAACACTGTATAATATAATCCTGACCATACAGTTAAAACAATAAAAAATTATGTTATAATATGAATTAACAGTTTAAACATCTGTTATGATTACTGTAGATAGTCAATACTTTGAGTCCAATCAGCCTTTTAATGGATAAGATATTTGGATATTTTTTAGTCTATAAGAGAAGACATTGTCCTTTCGGAGATCGTAATAATCAGAGATCCTTAAAGAGAGAGAGAGTGCAAATTGCATCATATGCCCTCGTCCAATCAGTAGTTATATGACCAATTTTCTCCAATCTCTTCCATGCCTATGGAGCTTTGAAACCCACGTCCAATCAGAGGAGACGAGTCACATAATATAGTTTACCACTCTCTAGTAATAATGAATAATGTATTTTAACTTAATTTTGAAATACTGCGAGCATTTTAATTTTCATCGCAGAAGAGGATTAGAAGACTAACCGAAATGTATGATCTTGTCATAATGATACATTTTGTAATAAATTTTATAATTTAAGATAAAGATTTTTTTTTTAACTCTCCGCGAACAAGAAAATCAACATAGATCATATGTGGAATATCTCATATCCCATGCTTCATCATAAATATACTATAATTTAGTATGATTGATAACGACGTACTCTCCAGTTGCACGAAATTAACAACTTGGGCGCGATATTTTTTGAGAAATTATAGAAATTCATATTACTGGGTATATCACACCCACAGACTTCTACATATAGAAGTTACACTATGGTTACACTCCACTTGGTTCGCAGAGAATTAAATATCAGCGCATGATCTTCAGTCTATTCATTCTCTTGTCCGGATATTTTCTTAATGTTTTTAATTAAAAGAAATATTGCATTTTGTTTAAATTTTCTTTAATAAAGATTTTGCGTACGTGCATGCGTGCGTGCGTGTAATTAGGCCTGTTCTTTTTAGCTGAACTTGCATGATTTATTTTTTCTCTTTTTTTTTTCAACGTGGAAAGAAAAGGAAGAAAAATTAATCGTGAAGAATCAAGAACTTTAGCTAAAAGAATAGAGACGCACGCATGCACGCAATGAGATTCCGCGCGGCCAGTCAAGCTCCATGCAGTTTACTATATTGGGAATAGGGCTTTAAAGCAAGACATAAGCAGTAAAGAAATCAACAAGTTGGATTGGCAACTGTTTACGTTATAGCCTTATTCTACTGTGATTAGTCAACTCACTTACTACTTATGTTTTACTGCTTAAATTTTTTGTGCCAAGGCTCTTATCATAATTTGGTCTATACCATAATTTGAACTGTAAACTATGTTTGGTAATCCTAATTATAAAATTAGCCAATCATAGCTATTTTTCTGAAAAATGGAATGTCAGTTTCATAACTATAGATCAGGGTTGAATAAGTTACTTTTTTTTTAACTAAGTTAAAATTACAGCCTTGAAAATTTAACTTAATTAAAACAAGTTAATCCATAATGAAATTGATTAAATTAGAAGTTAATAAAAAAAGTAATTTGAAAGTTAAAAGTTAAATTTAATCTAAACGAACAATAAAAAAAAAGAAAAAGTTTGACCATTTTACATAATTTTTAGTATTTTTCTTTTCTCACAGCATATTAAAGAATCATAGGTTATTTTTGTTTGTCACAAGTAACAATTATATAATATAGAAGAGATAAAATTACTAAATTATATCGGATGTTTCAGACTTTACTCTTACAATTCCTTTATTTTCGCAAGGTCGTAAAAATGTTTAGACAAAATGTAAGGTTTAAAAGATTTATTTACTGATCTTATCAGTTTAACCTTAGATGGCATCACCAAGGTCAGATCAAGATCATGTTGATTTTTTTAAATGGAACACCCAACTTTTTATTTCAGTATCTAAAAACCGATGTCGAGAACTTTTCAAAACACTAAATAAAGTAATTTTTAAAGTAATTTTAATAACATTGAGTACTTTTTGCTCCAAAATTACAGTACTGTCGACATTAGCATTATGCAAGATGTCCACCGATGGCTAAAATCTCTTGATAACATTTGTCAAAATCAAGACTATTGTAGATTATTCTTCTTGTTTTCATATCTATGAATCTAAAATTTTCATATAAAAATGAATTTTTAGTGAATTTTTAATAGCAAACATGAAAATAAGATGAATAATTTATTATGGTCTTGATCTTAACAAATGTTATCAAAGATATGCTTTTGAACAACATTCAAGAGGTTTTAAGCGTTGATCGGACACCACGCGTAATGCTAATGTCAGCGGTACTTAACTTTTCAATTTCATTATGGATTAACTTGTTTTAATTAAGTTAAATTTTCAAGGCTGTAACTTTAACTTAGTTAAAAAAAAAGTAACTTATTCAACCCTGATCTATAGTTATGAAACTGACAAGTCATTCCATTCTTCAGAAAAATAGCTATGATTGGCTAATTTTATAATTAGGATTATCAAACATAGTTTACAGCTCAAATTATGGTATAGACCAAATTATGATAAGAGCCTTGGCACAAAAAATTTAAGCAGTAAAACATAAGTAGTAAATGAGTTGACTAATCACAGTAGAATAAGGCTGTAACGTAAACAGTTGCCAACTTGTTGATTTCTTTACTGCTTATGTCTTGCTGCTTTAAAGCCCTTATAATTCGAAAAGTACTTAATAAAAAATAACTTTATTATTGTGATTATTTAGAAAGCTCTCGATATCCTATTAGATTCTGGAATAAAAAATATGGTGTTCCGTTTAAAATAATCAACGCAACCTTGGCATCACTTGATAAGATCAATAAATAGATTTTTTTAAACCTTAAAACTTTTGTTTGAACACTTTTACGATTGGATTTTGTCCTACGAAAATAAAAGGGTCTGAAACACCCGTATATTCATTATCCTCTCGTATTATGTCTGAAGATTGATTTAAAAAAAAATCAAATTAAAAATTAATAGTTATGGATAAAATTTAACTAAATTAAGTTAAAAAATTAAGAATTTAAAATATAATTATAAGTTAAAATTAATTATCTTTTTAACTTTTTAACTTAACTTTTACCTTTTTAACCTGGCATCCAATTATCCAACTCTACTACTGATATTATTAAATCCAAAGGGGTGCCGTGTAAACGTAGTGATAGCGATCTTATCTTAAATTTCTATCTTAAATTTAGAACTCAGTGAAAAATAACAACAGATTATGCAATTGTATCAAGTTCGATAAAAAAATGTTTTAAAAATAAAATTCTATACTTTTACGTGCATGTTATCCCTACATGCTAACTCTACGTTGTAAAAATAACAAATCTTAAATTTTTGCTTGATTACAAGAAATGTAAACACAAAAATTTCTCTATATTTACATTATATATGTTATCTTCGAATATTATATTTTAGACATCATTAGACATATAACTATCATTTCCATTACATGAAATCATTTTTATTGAATAAATAGAGAAACTCGCGTAGTACATCCAAACTTTTGACTGGTATATATACTGGTATATATACACACGCGCTTATTTTTTTACGAAAACATACAACAGACATTTTCACTTTATCTTTACACTTTCCACAGACAAAATTTTCGCATAATGACTTAAATTATTGTCTTTACATCATAACTCGTTAACTCGTAGAATTTAGAAAACAGAATTTAGAAAACTCACCACTCAGAAATGTCTCCAAATTATAAGTATAATTTTATGAGTTCATCACTAACAGCTGATGGCGTTAGAATTCCCAAGTCCGTGAACAATAAACTGATGTAGTGAGGTGGAGTATAATCTACCAAGGGATGCTCCTTTTTCAAATTCTTAGTTAAAAGTACACTGTATGTATACTACAATAAACAATAATGTATTTTAAGGATTATTACATACAGAAAAGATTCTTTTACATTGTTCCTAACAACAAACTGGTTTGAAATCAATGTATACAAATATAATTTACCTTAAATTCATTAGGTAAATCTATTTGATTCAAAGGATAGATTCTCGAAAATTTGAAGCTTTCTGTCAATACATAAAATGGTTTTTTCACCTCTTTTGCACATATAGCCATCGTATATGT